TTAGTTCTTTCATTCAAAGAAATTTTTTAATGTATTTTTCCTTTCAAAAGAAACCTGGTAGGTGGCTCTATGGAAAGATTTGCCCTCTTGAGAAAGTTCATTAAGACTGTCATATAGCTTCTTGCATGGCTAATTTCCAACTCTCCATTAAACTTGACCTCCACAGCAATAACTAGATATGCCTAATCAGAAAAGACTGTAAATTGAGAAAAGGTGAGAAGGCTTTCATGTCCGTTGCAGGGACCAACCTGTTCTTTAAAGCAAGAAGTTTGCAAAACCACATATTACAGTTATGTTGTTGCAGTATGAGCCAAAGTGTATTCGGAGCAATTGCTGCAATCCTTGCGTGCATTGTCACATGACTAATTGTCATGCAGCAGGTATACTCAATAACGAAGTGTTAGTTCTTAGCATAAAAAGGTTAATATGAACAAAAGTTACCCTCTTAGGATTAAAAGAGCTTCCAGCTTTTTAAAAAAAAAAAAAAAAAAAAAAAAAGCAGTCACTGGCTACTGCATGCTGTTTATCTTCAACTGAATAGAGTTGCAGGGGAGAAAGCAGGAATTGGTATAAAAGTAATAGGTGTCAGAGTGTGACACAGGACAGAATATACTAGAACTACCAGAGTGCCTTATTAACACTGTGGTTTTCACACAACTCTACTGAATCAGTCACAAACAAATTTCTACAGTCTGTGGGCTTTGTTACCACTACTGGCTGTGGTTCAGCACTGATAAAAATAAAATTGAATGTACACTATGTGCACTCTGTGGGAGGATTCTCTTAGTGCCAACGGAAGCATTGTCTGTTCGTCTTTGAAGAAATACAACATTTGCTACTAAGGAATGAAAATAGAATTTTCCTAAATTACACACAAAAAAGAAATTATAAACCAAATGGCATCACTGTTGGTCTTAATGTGATGTAGGACACACTTACACAAAATGTCTTCACACACTAAATGTCTTCAGCAATATGCCTTCTAAGAATAAGGATTTTTTTTAAGGAGGATTCAGTGTTAATGAAAGCACTTAGGCCAGCGTTTTATTAAAAGATAAGTTGACTACCCTTAGTAAAAATTTAAAGTATCCCTCCATTGTTACTTAGTACAAGCAGATGACAATAGTGAATAATGAAGTGGATGATTCTTTCAGTTTTTCTTGCTAGAAATAACTTAAAAGATTTAAACGCCCTCTTATTTTTGAGCGGTATCATGGGAAGAATTGCAAACAAAACTCAGCATGTTCCACCAGTTGGCTCTTGGACGCTTCTTCCAAAGATGCTGATGTATGGCTGCCTTTTGCACCACCGTTGAGATGCATCCAGCTGACAGCTGACATGCATACAACAAACAAGTGCTCTCAAAACTAGCCCTTGAGCAACAGGACTGAAGCAGCAGTGACCTCTCCAGGGCAGGGTGTTTGTGAACATCTGTTGTTGGTGAATGTCATAATTGTAATTTCACTGTATTGCCTACAGGTTAGTTACAAGATCTTCAGGAGCCTAATCATTTATGGAAAAGGATGCCAGATTAATTGGGCTTAGCCATTCTGTTGTTATAAAATAACCTTTTGTCTTACAACATTTGGAAAAAAAGCCCCATGGTATCACAGAGGGATTACCTCTGGTGGCAAGGGGGAGTAGTTGTTTTCTTTGTTTTGCTTTGGAGCAGTGATGAAGAACAATGGATGCAGAGGTATCTTAAGTAGGTTACTAGTAGCTTTTGGTTACTTTGCCATTTATCACACAACTATGCCTTGGGTTTCCTGGGCATCTTCTGAACACGGTAATACTGCTTGTGTCAAGAAAGCTTTACATGTCTGTTCTGGAGGAAGCTAAGCTTGGAGGTGCTTTTATCTTGGGTTTGGAGGATCTCTGAATCTTACCTGGGGAGCATGGCATTTAACTGAAAAGTCAAAAAGGCTGAGATGCAGAATCTGCTTTGCTTCATCCTTCTGTTTCTCTCTGGAGTGGTAAGGATCATCTAAGTACCAGGACACATACCAATCTCTTAGAAAGAAACATTCCTGATTCCAAACTAGCACACATGTAAACAGCTAATTTTACTTTAATCAGCATAAAATATGCTTTGTCAGCTGTTGAATGGTGCTGTAGTAAGAACTTAACTGGCTATGGTACCTTTATAATGGGGGGTGTACATGGAGGAAGAGCAACCATTTCTTCAGATATCAAGAAAAAGAGATAATTGCATATAAAGTGCAGGATTTTAATGTAATTGTCTGTGGGAAAATGTGCATATGTAAGGTGGACGGCTTAAAAAAAAAAAAAAAGCCGTTCCTGAGTATGAAAACTATTGTACTGTGACCGCATCTCTACCAAACTGTTTTGGTATTATTCTCCATAGATGATAAATTTCTGAGCTGCTAAGTCACTCTTCATTTCTTTCAAATCTAGACCTCTACAGATCTCTGCTGTTTATACTATGAAATACTCTAGGACTCCACACTGTAGATCACATCAGTCTGAAGCCAGTGGGTTTTTTCTACATGTGTAGTTAATCAGGAACTGGTTATTTCCCAGTCTTCTTCCTGCAAAAACGTTATATAGGCACTCAGAGTTCCTTCTGGACAGCTGAGAATTGAGTAATAGCAAGGGGTTTCTCGCATCAGAATAATGATGAGGGCAAAATGGATGAGAGTTTCAGAGAAAGCATGAAAATGTTATCATGAATGCAGTGGTCCAAATCCTGAAATGCACTGAGGATATCCTTAGCTTGCTCTGACATTATGAGCATTAGGAGTTTCAACAAAATGCTGGGCAGCTTTCAGATTTGGGGCTTAATAAACAATTGTTACTTAGATGTTTGTTCTTTTTAGAAATTACACCTGTTTCCACATTATTTATTCTGCTGATTGGCTTCTCTGGATTGCTTTTGGTCTGGACAAATAAGTCATGAAACTGACAAGAGGCAAGCTTGCAAAATTCAAACAGTAAGACTTCCCATAGACCAAAGCTAATATTGGCTAACACTGTAAATTGTGCTGCTTTTGTGTGATGAATCCACACCTGGTGTTAGCCAGAGAAGACCAGTTTGTATCGGGTACCACCTTATGCACTGATGGCAAGAACAAATTGATGGAGGATCAATTAGTAACTAAGAAAACCCTCTTAGCCCTGGGGTCCTTCTACAATAAATGAAAAAATCCTATTGCATGGAAGTGGGTACTTCAGGGTTTCATTTGTATGTAGACGGCACTTGTTTGAGGGTAGTGTTTCTGGTTTGTGCTGGGTTTCTTGTCCTGTAAAGCCAAGACTTGAAGTATCCCGTGGATCAGGCAGTCCCCCAAATCAAGCACCACAATAAAGAGGGTTGTCTCCAGAGCACTGCACTTCTGAAAGCCTTCGACTTTGGGCTAGGGGAGCGCTTCCTGCATTACTTTGGCATATGTGCTGTGTTCTGCTTTACATAGAAGCAGCTACTGTAATGTAGCTTGTTGCTGTTGTATTTTTTTGCCTAGTGCTCCCTCTATATACAAGATGTACGTTTCCTCAACCCTGTGTTAAAATGTTAAGGTTTGAGGTAAATCTCATAAGGTAATTTTATCCATTCCCTGACACTACGGCAGCATAAATGTTGATGCATTTATTTAACGATTTGCCTGCCACTTCTGACAGATGGTTGTTTAGTCTTATGCATCTTGTGTGATGGAGCATCCCCAACTTTTCCTGACATCTTGCTCAGTTGTTTTGCTGTTCTTTTTTGCAGTTTATTCTGGGCATTGTTTGCTTGGTTGAATTGGAGTTACTGTTTGTTTCTTCATCGGTGCTTTATCATGTTACTGTTTCTGTACGCTTCGCATAACTTTTTTTCTTGTAGTTGAAGACTGATTGCACTGTATCATCTGGTCTGTGTTAGAATGAGAAATTTGGGGAGGGGAGGAAGCGCCTTTGAGGCCATTGATCCCATCTTTATAACTTTGCCCTTTTAGCTACGAACAGATTATTTGTGCAGTGGTTCAAGATTGCACAGGCAGAATCCGAAGGACCAAACTTTACATAAACCATTTATACTAAACGTTGGGAATGCTGGCAACATAAATCAACAACAATATCTATTACAAATTTATCACTTTATCAGTATTATCTTTGATAGAAGTGGTCCAAAGTGTGGGGAAGTGAACCGTACCTCAGGAAGTTTAGCCCTCTCGTGAATTAATTATTCAGGACACACAGAGCCTGGCCCCTTCAATGTATAGTAATTCTTTCTAGCCAGCATCCAGGACTTTAACTTCGGTGGCAATAATAAATAGGAAAAGTCTCAGGTGAAGCCAGTATTTCAAAGTAATTAATCATCTTCCCCTTGTGGTCCCTCCGCCTCTCTCTTGGTTTTCTTTAACGAGGGAATTTCAGTAATAAATCTTTAATGATATATGTTAAGAATCCTTCATTAATTCTTGTCTGCTTATTTCTCTTTTTGTGATGCTTTTATGTTGTATGTTGGGAAGTTAAAATGCGTATACAAGAAAAAACAGTTATAGAAAGCTGATAATTGGCACAGTCTCTGAAAGGTTGTTTCTCGGATGTTGAATGTTGTGTGATACACTTGCTAGTAGGAGTTGTTGATTAATACTGGTTGGACTGTCAAACAAATACTTAGATACAGTTACAGAATTACAGCGTGATTGCACAGGGAAAGGTAAAGAAAGAAGTGATTTGTCCTCTCCCAAATCAGAGGTGAACGAGCACTAATCCCCAGTTCCATAGTGTGCAAAGGCTGTGTCATGTTGTATAGTCTCGGGTGCTAGAGAGGCCCGTGTGGGGAGCGCAGCGAGGCGTGCTGCTGCCGATACAGCAGTCGGATGCTCTGGCACAGCAGAGGGGATGTATCTTTAAATAATTCTCGCTAGACGCGAGCAGCCATCACGCCTATTCAATGTGACAGGGACAGATGTGACAGATCGGTTCTGACACACTTCCATACCACAAGTCCGTGGCTGGAGGTGACTGGTGTCCTTCCTCCGGTCCCGTCCCCGCTGCAGGACAGCACAACGACGCACGGATGAACCTCGCCATCGCCCTCACTGCTGCCAGGTACGGCGCTGCCACCGCCAATTACGCTGAAGTGCTGCGTTTGCTCAAGACGACAGACCCGGCCAGCGGGAAGGAGCGCGTGTGCGGGGTGCGCTGCAGGGACGTCTTAACAGGTGTGTGCCATCCCAGCGGGACCCAAAGGCAGCCTCCTGCCCACCTTCGCCGGCCGGCTGAGCGGTGCGCGGTGCGGCACCGCACGCCCTTCGGTCTGCAGCACCCTGCTTGGTGGGTGGAAGCGATGGCTTTCTGCAGCGGGCTTTGCCGTGCCGCAGTTGAACGGAAAGCACAGCCCTTTAGGAGAGCATACTCTCTTCGTTAAAGAAAGACAGAAATAACGAAACGAGGGAGGAGCGGGGAACAATGCTGTTTGTAAACATCAGTGAACCGACAAAGGAGCCATCTTCCCAGAGTGCAGTGGCATACCATTAGTGTCAATCATCTTTAACTTCTGTCAGATTTTTCACTCAAATCCAAGTGTTTTGGCAGGGTAGACTAAGCTTTACATCCAAACCCTTCTGTCAAGCAGAGATGATATTGTAAAATGCTATGTGCTGTACAGTAATAATCCCATTTACCAAGTCTACGGGTTGAGACTGAAATCTCTCTTGTTTGAGTGGCAGATTTCAGCTGAACTTCTTCTACCCAGTCATCCTTCTTCTGCCTTTACAGATAAGATGGAATTTCCCTGTAAAACATTTCCTTTCAAATCTGGTGTTACGTGAAAACTTTGTTAATTTTTAAAAACCATTCCAGCTGTTCTGTTCAGACAAGCACGATATACTTTACAGTAGGTTAAGTTCATAGATAGATTAATAATAGAGAGTGTCAGTGAGCAGGAAAACAAATGGTGTATGTGATTGATACTGTTTTCTTTCACAGGGCAGGAATTTGATGTCAAAGCCAAATGTGTTATCAATGCTACGGGACCTTTCACAGACTCTGTGCGCAAAATGGATGATCAGGAAGTACCAAACATCTGTCAGCCAAGTGCAGGCGTGCATATTGTGATGCCTGGTTATTACAGGTAACGATATTCAAAGCCTAAACCATTTGTAACAATCTCTGCTGGTGTCTGTAATAAATAAGCTTGCAGAGACATATTTGTCGGTTTTAGGGTAGTTTTGAATGCACAATTTGATTTTTATTTGGGGTTTGTTTTTTTTTTTTTTTAAAGAGGGTTCTGGCACTGTGCCAATTAGAAGAACAATTTCATATATTCAGAAACGGCTGAAGTCTTATATTTCTTAGTTAAAACTCACAAAGGCAGAACTCATGAAGCAGAAGGGCATTTAGGCACAGCATCTACAACAGGCTTGTGAAGGCACCTTTTTTAATGATGAGTCTGAGTTGAGTGTACTGACTGCTTGTTCACCCCCCTTAAGAAAACAAGAAGCATATAAAACCTTCCAGAGAGGTTGCCACCTTCATACAAAAACTCTTGTCCTATTAAATATGGAACTCTGTGCAGTGACACTCTGCCACTGTACTCTGCCACATTACGACTCCACTCATAGTAAATAGGAATGCAGCATGTAGGCAATATAAGAAGTAGTTCAAAATAACACGATTAAATTCTGACACTGCTGTGGACACAAGTCCACCCACCCGTGGTTGTTTTGGTGGAAAGGACTTGCCTCCCTCTGCTGACCTTGTTACAGAAGAGGTTCCCGTGGCACTCTGCGAGCACGCTCTCTGTAGACTCCTGCTTCTTTCCTTATTTGCTGTGCAAAACCAAATCCCCTTCTACCAAGTAAGCCTTGTCAGTTGAAACTCAAATATTACCTTTTGTTTCTGAAGTCATTAGCATCCTAATGGAAATTCACATTTATAGACTTATCCCAATTCTGTTGATACAGTGCACTTACAATAATGCCTTCCATATCATCATTGCACTCCTCTGTGAATATAAATTTAGACTTCCAGTGCACAACATGTTGTTTTTGCCAGAGCTGTCCCAATAGGACATGACCATAGACTGTAAAATTGAGGCATTTTTGGCCTAGTGTAAAATCACTCTTGCATTCTGTTCATTTTTGGTGTCTTTCCACGTGAAAAATGGGAAAATGACCTGATAGCTGCTTTAAAGCACTAGCAATGTTGAGAAATGGGTTGTAATCCTAGTTTCCTCATATACTATGAGAAGGACGTGTGTAATTGACTTTATGGCCCTACAGCAAAAACATGTAAAGTTTTAGAACTTTGACTTGCTTTGTAAATTCAAAATAGAAGATGGCTTGATATGCATGAGGGCTCTAATTTATTTATTCTGCAATAACCTAATAATTTTAATTGGAAATGTAGAGAATTCTTGTTCTTCTTGTTCCCCTGTGTATGTCAGCATGTGGGCATTACTTTTCTTGTAAAATAGTATCTACCCACACACTGCCTCCGCAGTACAGCTGATTAGATAAAACTGTACTGAATTTCCTTGAAGTGGGATAGCTTAAACCAGGGAGCTGTCTGCTAAATAGGAAGTACTCATGATATTTAATCTTTAGTTGTATGAGGTCTTCTCCTGGTGCCAAGGAATATGCCTCAACAAATGAAGATTGTCATTTCACTGTGTCCATTTGCCTTGTGGTAAATGCTTTATAGAATTTTGGTCCGTACTCACACAAATGAAAATTTTTTAACAGGTAGAGGTTTTTAGCTATAAACATAGTTAAGATTTTGTAAAACTAATGTTAACCTAATGCATTCATTTCCCATGGGTTTCTTACTCATTTATGTTCTTCATTAATAGTCCCAGTATTCCTCCTCTCATTAATTCTATTTTTAGTATACACATATCTATTCTAGTAGCTGCAGTAAGTCTCTTCCACTCCCTATTGTTTAAGTATATTGTCTGCTAAAATGAGAGAGGGTTTTGGCTACTTTTGTTCAGATAGGCTTCCTGCCTGAAATGTGTCTATGAATGCAATACCTTTTTCCCCTCCCTTCTGACAAATTTCAGATGTTTTCCGTCTTAATTGAATTTTCCTATCTGCTCTGCATTCCAGATTCCAGGTAAACTTGTCTGTTAAACCTTAGTTCTACTCTACAGAAAGTCACCTATTTGTTCTTTAACTGCGTTTGTGGTGCTTTGGTCAAATGCTTCTTCAACTAGAGATCTTCCATGTATCTGTTCTGCTCTGTAAAATGCCATAGTTAATGTCCAGGAATGAACCACTTCCTGACTCCAAGCTCAAGAGTTCTGATCTGTCCTTCAGTTAAATTATCTTGTCTAGTTCAGTAGTCTATAGTTTCTTACATTCTATGTGTACTTTAGTCATCTGTTCTCAAGGTTCTTTCCAGATTTGTTGTACATTCAACATACATTGTCCAATTTAACTGCACTGCTTTTTGGAAGAGGAAGCCTTTTAAAAAGTAGACATGCTCCAAACACATTCAGTTGTTTCAAGTCAACTCTTAAATATCATACTATTGCTTTACCATTAGGCCAGGTATCTTGATCTTTGTTTTGCTGACAAAGAGTCACTTCAGATTCATCTGTATTATACTCCAAGACCTTTTGCCACTATATTTCTATGTAAAGGCATTGCTTTATACTTCATATTAGAGTTTACAATTCTGAACTTATCCATTTTATTAGTCTTTAAAGATTACTAGAGAAATCTTACAATGGCTGATATTGCTGTAGCTCCTACCACATTCTCGCATCCATTCTGTAATCGAAAGAATTTGTGTCTTATAAAAGCATGTTGTTTCAGAAGTATTCCTGGTGTGCAGCAGCATGATTCCAGAGGTGTTCCAGAACAGCCAATATTTGGGTGTTAAGATGCTTCTTTTTGGTGGGAAACACCTTATTTTACATTTGTTTTGGTGGCTTTTCAGTTACATACATAAGATGGAACAAACATAGCAATAGGAGATTGAGAGAGAGCTTCCCAGGATAGCTGGTAGTCATTAATTCAGTAAATTAATTGGCATCCTTTCATCCTTTCTCATAATTTGCTGCATAATCTAATTGAAAATGCTTCAGTCCATAGGTGTTGTGGTGAAACTTAGGTTTAAGTCTTTACTTTTTTCTCTTCCTTATTTTTAACAGTTTTTACAAAATCACATTTTAAAAAAATTCATACTTTTGAGAAAATGTCTGAAGTTTTCTGAATATTCTGCTACTGTATATTAAATCTCTAGTTTCCTGTCTCTAAATCAATAGCTTTTTCATTTTAAAAAGTAATAATTTGTCTGACGTGATTTACCTTTCACAAATCTGTGTTGACTTCCCCTATTAAATTGTACTTCTGCAACTGTATGCTTAAGCTGTCTATAAATATCATCTAAAAAAATGTTCTAATATACATGCCATATATGAAATTTTCAGTTTCTCTTCTAGCCTTTCCAGATATTGAAAACTTACGTTCAGTAATCACTTTAGACTTCCTAAAAATGAAATATTCAGTGATTCAGCTTGCAGCTCTCTTGAATAGATAATTCATATCCAAGCAGGTCTTTGTCTAGCTTCAGCTTATTGTGTTAGTAGTTACTTAAGTCCACTGAATTATTCCCCGCTGATGGTCCTTATTACCACCTAAATATATACCTACTATCCTCCTTCCATATACTTTCTATATCCTCCTTGAGTTATCAGGAATAGGTGCAAAACCTGAAGACTGCTAAACTGACTGCAGATGTTTTTACAAGGACTTCCGGCAGCTGAAATGAAAGTCAGAATCTTTCCTTTAAATACAAAAAAATTAAAAAAGGGCCAGCTTAAATGTTTTCCTATATAAAAGCTGTTTACCTTGAAGTGTTTATAGAAGCCTTTTGTTTTCTGCAATATAAGCAGAGCTATTTAATAAGTCACAAGGATAACTGTGTTTGTACCTGTGGATTTTTTTTTTTTTAACTTTATACCAGAAAACACTGATACATAAATTAAAATTTCCTGTATGAAGAACTACTGTTTTTCTTCATTTTACTGAATCATTCTGTTTGTAGCACTTGGCATAAATAAATGAAAAATCTCTGAATAGTAGCATCCAGTTAGTGTCTCTTTTGCCGCCTTTTCCTCAAAACACGGTTCCCCAGTCAGGACTGCAAGAGCTGGGAGCATTTGGAGTGTACTTCTTGGTCCAAATCCCTTGGGAGTCTATGGGTGTTCACTCCTGTTGAAGTGGCAGGTGGTTAACAAACCCAGGCTGTAGTATGACTGGAAGTTTACTGTTTAAACGTACTCATAATGCTTATGATTTCAGCGTTGCTGTTCTCTTGTTTTCTGTACTTGTTCTTTCTGTTGCTAACCCTCGCCCCCTCCCACCCCACCTTTATTGTGAATGCAGATTGTAGAAGTCATTGGGATTTTGTGCGTCTTTACTTTTTGTCCTCTGTTCAGGGCGCAGATAATTGATAACTTGGGTTAATAACATTTCATCTTTAATTTTTCTTGTTATATACTTAGACAGATCAGGGTTCTGTTCTTATTTCTTCCATTTTAACGTGCATTCTGTTTCAGCCTTCCCTTTCCTTTGTGGCATAATATAAATGATTGTCAATTTTTTGATTAAAAACAGTTGTTCATTCCATAATGAGTTTCAAGTAATTGCTGTTTTAGAATTTCCACATGTTTGTATTTGAAATTCCAATGAGCAAGATTTTCCAGAGTGAATGGAGATGTGAGATGCCAAAGGCCTGATTGCTCGATTTAAGGTTGTGGTCTGCTAACTTGCTTAGGAAATCAAATTCTAGTGATATCTGAACATCACATTCAAGGGCCTTATTTATCAAAACTTCTGGGAGTACCATTTAAAGTCAGGTCATGGCCACATGTGAAATCTCTGGCTTTTTTTCTTTTTTTTTAATCATTTGACCTAGGAGCAAAAATAATGTTCTAATACTTTATCTGGGGTACAAGGTGTGCAAGAACAGAATCCCTGGTGGTGCCTGACCTGTTTTGAACCATGTCCCTTCTTTATTTCAGCCCTGACAATATGGGTTTGCTTGACCCAGCCACCAGCGATGGTAGAGTGATTTTCTTCCTGCCATGGGAGAAGATGACTATTGCAGGGACCACAGACAGCCCGACTGATGTTACTTCCCATCCAATACCAACAGAAGAAGATATAAACTTCATTTTGAATGAAGTGCGCAACTACCTTAGTGTTGATGTTGAAGGTAAACCTTTGTCAGTTCTGTTTTTCCTCTGCGAAGGTACTGATAAGTCTGTGACGTTTCAGTTTGAGTAAATGCTGTCTGTCTGAAGTTTTTTCTGTGACTCTGATAACTATGGTTCTTGTGCATCTGGGTGTTTCTAAAACTAGTGGGACATAAGTGTCATCGTGATCTCTGTTTCAGAGCTATAAAATGATGCTTTTCCAGATACACCTGCACTACTTGGACTATTTAAATGGAAACCAGTTGGTATCTGCATGTTCAGACTTCACATACCTTTCATCTAACTGGTGCTAGCTGTCCAGCTGCACAGCCAAGTCTTTCTGGTCTCTTTGGGTGGCAGATGCAAGGTTTTGCAGAACTGGGACAGTTTGGTCATACATCAGCACAAGTACATCAAATAATTCACCTGTTTTTCTTGAAGGAAAAGTTGTTCTGACTTTTCCTGTGTCGTTGTTTTTATTTCCATTTTTCTAGGCACTTTATTCTTAGAATTTACTTTTCTTGATATGGTAAATATCTAATAGTGTCAGTTTTTCAGTGGGAGAGGAAAGTATAATGGGCAAAAAGGAGAATTTATAAAAATTCCTTGGTGACAGTTCCCTTCAGTAGCCGAGCTGAGAACACATTCGTTAGAAGGTGCTGGCCTGCTTTGACTCAGTGCTGGTTTAAAGGAGAGAGGCTTTTTTCCTTCATAGTGACTTTTAAAAAAAATTATTCTATGAAAGCATTTGTACTTCTGTATTTCCGTTGTAGTAGCAGCATTAAAATAAATCTGAAAAGCACTCTGTCAGGAACCTTGCAACATCCTTAGATTTAGGAAAACTTGCTGTCTGATGATTGGAAATGCTAGATTACTTGTTTCCTGAAGTGGATAATTGATGGCTCTGTATTATATAAAGTTCAGGAAAAGTCTTCAGGAAATGTACCTTTAAGTTTCCTGAGCAGAAGTTGATATAAATAAGTGCGGTAGGCCTGTCTGGTAGCTACCTGTCTGGTAGCTGGTAGAGTTAAGGATGTGAATAAGACAGAGATTTTGCAAGGTATTTTACAGAACTACATTATGAAGTGTTTAATTCTTTTGAATGAAACCTACCTAGGTGCACGCTGTTTTTCACATATGCAATTAGCAGTGTTTATAGATTGCTTGTTATTGAATTAACAACTGTGCTGGCCATATCAACTCACTGCAGACCTGCCTTTTTGCTGCCAGAGACAGTGCCAGGGTTATCAACTTACACAGGCTTGGATGTGTTCCAACTGTTTAATTATAGTGTCACGCATGCTGCTTTTTCTAGTTTCATTAGTTTATAAACGTAATATGGTATCTTATTTCTGTGATTAACACTTCATTTTGGCAGGTTAAACATGCTGGCAGAGCACCATTGATTTCTGAAATCTATTTTGTGTTCTTTGGGGGATATTTTTACACCCTTTTACTGATTTTCAATTATCATTTATTTGAAAGTTGTATGAAAAAAACCAAACCAACCCACGTTCCAAAGACTTCAGTACAAAGCAAATCAGTCAATTTTTCTACTGCAATTTAATAAGCAACAAAATTAATTTCATTAAATTATCTATTGGTCCTATGTTTTATGTATTTAAAAAAGTGACTTTCAGAGGCTGGGGTATTTTTCTACAACTGTTAAGGGCTTTTTTGATGAACAGATGCCTTCAGGTTTTCTTCCTGAGAAGTCAGGGTTGGCTTTAGGTGTATACCTGTAACTGGACAGGAAGCGGAGGAGTAGCACAGGGGAAGAAAGTAGTGAACAGCCGTTGAGTCAGGCTTCTTGTGGAGCACGACAACGTTGCTGAAGCAGTGGTAAGGAGGAGGCAGAGAAGGCAGAGCTGGAAGAGGTAGTTGTGTAAGATATGTGGACTTCTGTTGGGTGGTTTTTGACAAGTCAGCTGGGCCCTTTCAGGTTGCTGTGCAGTAAAAATGCTGGCGTGGGGTACAGCCTTTGGGGTTGTGCTACAGCTGACCACAACCTTGCCAGTAATTTTTCTCCTTGTGTATATGTGTAACTGCACTTACTATAAAGTAAACACCACTTGTCAAGAGGAAAACTTGGGAAAATAATCTACAAGCTAGAGAAAAAGCTTTGAAGTCCTAAAAGCAAATGTTACACTAATGTGGAACAAACTTTATTTTGGTTTCTGAAATGTAATGCAAGGACTGTCCTGTCAGCACAAGCAAACAAGGAGAAGACTTGGTGCTGGGGGGGTGTGTGTTGGTTTTGGTAGGGTTTGGGTTTTGAGTTTAGGGGTTTTTTGAGCTGATCAGTGAGTTTGACAGTTGAGTCTCTCTTGGTTGATCAGTTCCTGGGATATCTCTGTTCTGTTAGATTTTTAACCAGTGTGAAAAATGGACCTATCTGTCTCTGACTTTGCTTTGGGCTACAGAATATTACTGATACTGATCAGGGCAGTGCTATTTTTAATTCTGTAGCCCAGCTTATTTCATTACTTTGGAGAATCTCCTCCAGCTCTTTGAGTTGCTCAACTAACAAGCATGGTGTGGTGCAGTCCTTGTTTCACAGCAAGTATCTACACGGAGGCAATGCCACAAAGACCACAGGAGGGATATGAGATAAATACCCATCAGTTCCTGGCTGACTTTGGCTGATCTTTGGTTCCGGACAGTGAGAAGAGGAGACGTGTTGGCAGCGTGGAGTGGTATTCGTCCTCTGGTCATAGACCCCAACTCCAAAGACACACAGTCGATATCCCGGAATCATGTCGTTACCATTAGCGATAGTGGCCTTGTCACGATAGCAGGTACTGGAAGTTCTCTTAAAGTATAGCTTTGTTGGGCTTCCTCAGTGTATTTTACTGAAAACTTTTCTCGTTACAGGATGATCTTTCATGTTCCTTTAACTAGATAATGATCTGTCAGTGGTAGCATGACTGGCTTGTTGGAGCAAGTCTAGTAAGAATAATGTGATATATAAAATATATATAGTACATACCAACTTCATATTCCACTTGCTTTCCCCAAATAAACAAGGAAATGTGTGGTTACAGGTGGGAAGTGGACAACCTACCGTGCCATGGCACAGGACACCATTGATGCAGCTATTCAAGCGCATGATCTGAAGGCAGGTTCCAGTAAGACCATTGGACTGCAGCTACAAGGGGCTGAGGACTGGAGTCCCACTCTCTACATTAGGTTGGTCCAAGACTATGGACTTGAAAGTGAGGTGAGTCATGGTTTCTGTTGATGCTCTGATGTTTCTGTGTTGGGGTGTTGTTTTCCCACTAAATCTAATGCCAGCGTAACTTGTACAAAGCTCTGTCGAGCCTGATAAGAGCTTATTATCTGGCCGGGGCAAAGGTAGTTTTAAAAAAAAATAAATTCTAGTAATTGTTTTTCTTTTCTTCCCCTTTTCCCTTCCTCCTAATCTTGACTGTTTCCTGTGTTAAAATGTTATGACATGCTAGGGTCTGTCTTCCTCTGAGCACAACAAAATCTATACTTCAGGTGTAATCACAGTGTAGCAGAAGAGTTGGAGCGTCATTAGTCACAGTTACATTGATACATACATAGTGGTGTCACTGCTGGTCTAACCCATTCACAACACAAGTAGTTTCCTCCCACACAATCAAAATCTAATACCCTCTTCAGCCTATTTGTTATTGGTGATAAGAGAATTGACAAGAAAAATGTGTGTATATTTGATGTGCTTTCAAAAGCGTATTGAATTTGTTTTCAACTCCATAGGTGGCTCAGCATCTAGCTTCAACATATGGGGACAAGGCTTTTGAGGTGGCCAAAATAGCCCAAGTTACAGGAAAGAGATGGCCTATTGTTGGAAAACGTCTTGTGTCAGAATTTCCTTATATTGAAGCTGAGGTATGTGGAAGAACTACATAGTGTTCTTTGATTCTCTTCTTGGGATAAGCAGGTTCTAGAGCAGGGCTGTCTCGCTCTGTAAAACATCTCCATAAACCCTTTCATTTGGTGAGGTCCAGATTTTTTTTTTTTCTGTTCTTGTTTTTCCCGTTCCCCGGAGCATGCTTTACTTTTATGCTTATGTGTTTATATATACACATATTAATATATTTATATATAATTAAATGTCTATTTTTTTAATTTCATATATACATGTTTGATCCCAGATGCGTTTTATAAAATGTTCCAAGGAGAAGGGAGCTTTTTAAATGCTTCTTTTGGTTGGGTGGGAACTAGTTATGGAAAGTTCATTTTGTATAGCCAGCCCAGCAGTGCCATTTGTGATGCTAAACATAATTTCTGACAATGCCCGTCTACTTTCTCATCTGCATTTTTTCCCTTGTCTTATTGTTCTAGGTTGTCTATGGTGTTAAAGAGTATGCCCGCACGGCAGTGGATATGATTTCCCGACGTACTCGCTTGGCCTTTCTGAATGTGCAGGCTGCAGAGGAAGCCCTGCCAAGAATCATAGATATAATGGGGAAAGAACTTAACTGGAATGAGCAGAAAAAAAAGGTACAAAGGGCCTTTTTAATCTGAAACTGTTTTGTTTTTCTTAAGTAGTTTCCATGTTAACGATCTAAATTAGTTGAATAGAAAACTTCAAGTGATGCTTTCTTCCTGAGAGAATGATTCACTTGGCATATTTCATTACACAGACTTTATCAAAATAGCTGTGAAATGAGTTGGTATTGGCCAGGGGGTGGAGGGGAAAGTGAAGATCTGTATCCTGTTGTTCCCCAACTTTAAAAATGAAAGCAGTCTTGGCATTACTATCCTGTTCCTGTTCAAATATTTTGTTTACTGACACTTTTCAAAAGATCTGCCTTGGAAAAGGGGGATCTTGTAGTCTGTGTCACTCCTTTTTGTCTGCTCTGTCTTCTGAAAAGTGATGAATGCTGAGTTTGCACCATTCTCTGGCCTAAATTAATGTTTAAGGTCATTGTTAGCTTCCTTTGCCCCCAGCGGGTCTGTGCTCAGACATGTGTGGGACTCATCTCACTTTACTTGCAGTGTTGATAACAGGCTGTGTCTATCTAAGCTAGTCTCTGTATGCCTGCTCTGTAGTAAACAAACTTCGGCCAGATGACATACCCTAATAAGGGTATCTGCTGTGCATGCATTGAATTTCACCCTATGGCCTTGTTTAGATGTCCACAAACTGTCAGGAGTACCTTGGATAACTAGCTTAGATGTAGACATCCCGCTTACTGACATGCATCCTGCCCCTTCTGAACTATCACATCATGTAAGTTACCAATTACCACTTCTTTCTGTTGTCATAAAAAGATAAATGCCCAGAATACTGGAGGCTGTGCTTGTAATGCTGTCCAGAGTATGGTGGAGGAAAGGCAGCGCAAGGAGTGCTCTACCCAAATGGGACACATGGTTTGGGACTACCTGCACTCTGAAGCAAACAGAACCTGTGAATGCTCACCTAGCTCTTCCACTCCAAAGGGGATGGGAATTTTCCCTTGGACTGTTTGTGAAACCTTTTAGCCAGTTAGAAGTTTGATTAACATTCTGGAAGGAGCTTCTTTGAATCCTGCTATCCAGAGGGCCTGCTGTGATCCTACAGCCTCCCCACAGGAATGCATAAAGCAAAGGATACTGTCATGTCACAGTTGTGAGCCGTGTTGCTTGTCTGCATGTATGTTGAGCAACCTCATAGTCAGAGGTGTTTGACTGAAGTTAGAGGTGTCTCACCCTTACCCAATGAGATTTGCTCATGTAATAATTTACCGTGTTAAACAAAGCTGTATCAGTTCTTCCATAACAGTAGATGAGAAAATGGGAAGGTTGCAAAGCAAAGAATTTGAAACCAGCATGATGTTAGGGTTGCATGGACAGCCTTAACTCCAGTGGCCCACAGTTGGGGAGTTAGACCCCCATTCTCACCATAACCTGCAGGAAGGAAAATTAACAAGTACTGCATGCACCTGTAAGACTTACAAAGCCATGTGTGGCTTGCGTGAGCTCACTAATGCCAGCAGGGCATTCCCTGAACATCCACTGGGGTTTCTTTTTGAAATGAGATGTCGTGGTTTAACCCCAGCCAGCAACTGAGCACCACGCAGCCACTTGCTCACTCCCTTCCCCACCCAGTGGGATGAGGGAGAGAATTGGGGGAAAAAAGAAAAACTCATGGGTTGAGATAAAGACAGTTTAATAGGACAGAAAAGAAGAAAATACTAATGATGATAATAATAAAATGACAATAATAGTAATAATAAAAGAATTGGAATATACAAAACAACTGACGCACAACGCGATTGCTCTCCACTTGCTGACCGATGCCCAGTTAGTTACCGAGCAGCGATCCCCCCCCAGCCCCACTGCCCCCAGTTTATATACTGGGCATAATGTCACATGGTATGGAATACCCTGTTGGCCAGTTTGGGTCAGCTGTCCTGGTTGTGTCCCCTTCTACCTTCTTGTGCACCTCCAGCCTTCTTGCTGGCAGGGCATGAGAAGCTGAAAAATCCTTAAGTTAGTATAAACTTAGTGTAAATACTTGACTTAGTATAAATACCTGGCAACAACTGAAAACATCAGTGTGTTATCAACATTCTTCTCATACTAAATGCAAAACATAACACTATACCAGCTACTAGAAAGAAAATTAACTCTATCCCAGCTGAAACCAGGACATGAAGCTAAAAACCCCCTGAGTTATTGAGCACCTCTTCTGCAACCAGTCTTGGGCCATTTTGAAGTGCTACGTTTTTACAGCAATCTTACATGTGCTGTATTTCAACTTGACGGACGAGGCAATTCAATGCCTATCCAGAAGAGCATTCTTTAATTTAGATCTTATAGTAAGACCATTAAATAAGTCTTTGTTGGTCTGGGACTTTAAGGCTAATTTGTGTGCTTTTATTGAAGTATGTAAGAGTAGTCTGGTATAGTTCACTTGGTCTCCTAATACGCCTTCACGAACAAGTCTTTGCTAGATGAAGTGGCTTACATGTACGTGCCTAGGAATCTTTTAATGCTACTGCGGCCGTTACTTAGCATGCTTACTCTTGTTTGTTAACTGCAGTGCGGACTATTTAATATTGGTGCCCATGTGGCAGATGATTGTATCACTTTTAGAACTGTGTTTGGTGTACCCATCGCTGTAGAAAGAACTCTGTTCTACAGTACTTTACGTTATGTCAGTTGTTTATCACTTATTAAAAAACTAGCTATGGAAGACCTTGCACCGAACTTTCAGGTAATAAATTAATTTTACTACCATCAAGAGAACTAGTTTAAAACATAAAGAACCTTCCTGGTGTTGAGCCTCCTGATTTTTTTGCTGATTCTAGACAGGTGAAACATTGCACTAAGATACCAGCTGTGAGTTAAATGGCATTTTGTAGGCCTGACCTGCAATTTCTTCATGAAATAGGTGGATATACCATGTGTGACTTTTAGGACCATACCATGCCTTCAGTGTTAACACAGTAATTAGAAGTCTTTACTAGACTTGATATCTCTTTTCAAGACTAAAATGTGCCTAAGCTTAACTTATTTTTTTAAATGCTTTTTAGCTACCGTCTGCTTAGGTTTTGGATATTAGATAAATTCTAGTTAAGTGGAAGAAGCTAATAAATACTACATTAAAAATAATTGTGTAAGAACTTGCTATTCCTCAGATATACAGTTTTTCTTTTTGTTGTAGGAAGAACTTGAAGCTGCTAAAAAGTTTCTCTATTATGAAATGGGCTACAAAGTAAAATCAGATCAATTAACAGACAGCTCTGAAATCAGTCTAGGGCCTTCAGATATTGAAAGGTAAGTAAAGTAGAAGAGTTCCCTATGCTGCTATGAATTAATACCAGTCATTCTTCTGAGTGCAGTTTTTCCCACTGATAATCCTTATCTTGCAGGTACAAGAAGCGATTCCACATGTTTGACAAGGACAAGAAAGGGTTTATTACTATACTGGATGTGCAGCGTGTCTTGGAGGTAATGTTTCCTTGTGTTCTTTTAGTTTCCTTTTTAAGCCTCTTATCTAAATTTTAGAGTGTGCCATAAATAGTGCTGAACAATCCAGTTGACATACTTCTGTACTTTTTTTTTTTGTCTAGAGCATCAGTGTGCAAATTGCTGAAAACACACTTCATGATATTCTAAATGAAGTGGATCTGAACAAAAATGGACAGGTTGAGCTCAATGAATTTTTGCAGGTAGGTGTTTCTTTGTTACAAGAGAGGCTGTAACTTTAATGAACAAAGGCATAGGTATTTAATTTTTTTATCTCTTTGTTGAAGGGCTGGGTTGGAGACTAGGTGAGTGTTACTTGGGTAAACACTGTAGTGTTGATGCTATTTGCCAAATCACAAGTGACACACAGAGCCATCCTCAAGCAACTTTGAAATTCAAGGGGTTTTTTTTTATGTGCAGAAACAGTAAGACCCAAAGAACAGGTCCAATTTACAAAGTATACTACAGTACAGACCTGAATTTGGCTTTTTTTAGTATAGAAATACTGTTTAAATATATTCAGAACGATACAATTGTCCACTGGAAGGTATATGGCACAGTTATGCACACCGACATTTATCTGGGTCTGTTAAGTGGTTAGTAGTTTCTAAACTATTTTGAATATTTTAAAGAATGAGCTTGTGGTTAAAGCACATCCAGTCCATATAATCCCATTTTAACTCCTGGATTGGCTAACATTATGTCAGTTTGTACGAAAGACATTACATTGACAACCCATATATCTGCTTTTTGAAGGGCTTTAAAATAAAATTAAGGGTGCTACTGAAACATTTGTTTGCCCAGCTCCTCTTGCATATGCAGTTTGCCAGCCAGCTTTGTTTTTGTAGAGTCTTTCTTGGTGTGGTATTTCAAGTGACTGCCATGTCTTTCCTGCATGGTGGCAATGATGAATGCCGAACATGAGATAAATTAATGCTGGGGATTTTGGTCAATGTCAGCCCTTTCTTCACTGTGTCAAGTTAAACAAACAAGATCAAGGCAAAGGAAATGGTAATTGTCTCTCTCGAGATGAGCTGTAGATAAGAGCAGCATTGTTGAATCTAAATGCAGAAAATTTTCACAGGTTGTGTCCAGCATTAGAAAAAAGGACTATTTATTTGCCTAAAATGCAGCAATTTAGTTGGGTAACTGATATGCACTTGGGAAGGGGAAAAATAAACCCAAACAAACCATGGGGGCAGAAAGAAGAAACAATGGCTTTGGGAGTTTGTGCTTATGTATTCACATATAAGGGAAAGTCACAGCTGTTTTTCTGGCTATTGCAAAAGGGTCTCCCTCTTATCTCTCTTTGCATATGAAAATTTTTATTTGGGGGTGGAACCCACCATTTACTGCAGGGGCTGTGTTAAACTGTAATTTGGTTAGTTTGGTTACATTGTGGTTAAGAAGTTGAAACAACTAGTAATTATGTCTTCTGTGGATTTTTGGTGGCTTTCTGGGGTTTTTGCTTTACTGTGCTGAATAGTCTCATTAGGGGTTGCCTCCTTAAGACATAATATCTGTAGAATATAAACGGCAAGTTGCTGTTTTGGTATAGTTTCACAGTTACATTTGTAAAACTGTGTAACTCTGTGGCTACTGGCTTCTCCTATACATTTTACAATGCAATCTAAATATTTAACACCAGTGTTGGGCACTGCAGTAATGATCACTTGTGCCTATGCACCTCCTTCCTGTAGAGGCAGAGAACAGCACATGGGGAGCTGCTGCGTAGCCAAGTGCTAAGTAGGAAGTATGGTAATAAAATTAACAGGAGGTTGCCATGGAAGGAACAAAATACATTAAATGTTTGTTTAATTTTTTTTAATGGATCTGTTAAGTCAGTTCCCAATACTTTCATGTTTGCTTTCTGAAAACTTTCAAGTAATTGCATTTTACCACAGAATGCTTGTGGAAAGCCATGTGCAAATATTTGTGGATGTTTATATTAGAATATAGGAACACGTTGTACCAGGGTGGCTGCGTAGCTCTCCAGGTGGGGAGCAGAGCAATGCCAAGTGCTTTCATTTGGCCAACTGCAGATTACCAACGTAACTCAAATAATGGTCTTGTGAGAACTGGTCCCGGCAGACACCAGTGCTTACAGGTGTTTCACAAAGAGAAAGCGGACTGCATTGATCAGCGTTTAATATAAACAGGTCGTTCCACCGTGGCAGGGAGGCAGAGCTCTGACAGTGTTTAGGTGCACACAGAGCTGTCTTATGGCAGTGACTGTTTTTCTGAAGACTTGAATACAGAAGTCTAGTGCTGCTGTCATTTATGCTCAAGAAAGGAGGGGGACCTTGGGAACTAGTTTTGGTATGTAAAGGCAAAAAAACCCCCATGTTAAATGAGAAGGAAGCTTTTTCCGCAACAGCAGATTTCCTCTCGGGTCCTGACAGACCCATGTACCAGAAACTCTTGTTTTCATGGCAGTGCCGGAGGATCAGCCATTTTTTTTGTGGTCACCTCCCCAAAGAGCACGCAGTATAGTCAGAGCAGACAGACACAAGACTGGCAGTCGGGTGTATCGTCAAGCAGGGTGAATGGGTGTGAGGGCAATGCCTCTCCTCTTAGGGCTTCCCAGTCTGTGCATAGGGATTGCTCTGTAAGTGGGGAGGGAGGTGAGGGAGAACACCAAGCCCAAGCAATGGTGACCTTCCCTTGCTGGCTGTAGCTACTGCTCTTACTGCTGCTTGTCTTCTCCTTCCCAGCTCAGTCATCTGTCTCGCCTCAGGGCTGCGCAGTGTGATCAAAATGCCTTCAAATGCAGGGAGGGAGGTTTTTCCAGCCTCGGCTGGGTCTGCAAAGCATGGGGTTCTCTTCTGTCCCTTCCCCTCCCAGGTACTACTTCCAGCTTTCACAGGGTTGATACCACATTTGCATAGGTCCAGCTGCAGATATAATTAATAGATTTTCCTATGGAAGGGAAGAAATCTAAAGGATTCTTAGCACTCGATGGGAGTAAGAAATTGCATTTTGTAAGTGCCGATTGCTTTCCATAGTAGTCTTTGACAAGCTGACTGCATGTAATTTCAAGTCTAATGCTCACTTTATCCATGGGATAAAAAAGAATTAACTAAAATCTTAGTGCTAGTGTGTGTTCGTTAAGATAGAGCTGAGTCCAGTTTCAAGGACTTAAAGGCAAATTAGTTTTAAAAGTCTATAAAGGAATTTGGATTTGAAAGAATTGTGGAAGTCAAGTACACTATCTCTACAAAGAAGGGCATATCAATGAAAAAGGGTATGGTCTGGGGTCAGTTGTAGATCAGGAATGGTGTTCTTCTATTAGTTACATCTTTCAGATATTTAAAAAAAAAAAAAGGCACGTGTGAAATAGATGGGTTCTCCTACATTCTTAAATGTCACTGAAAAACCCTGGTGTTGATGGTTGCCTGCTCTGTTACTTCCAAATGGATTGTATTTGGTACTTCTACTCTTCCTGCCACCCATGCCTTGCCAAAACCTTCATTGATATTTCTGGAAAATGTAAATGAGCTTTGAAGTGACTCTTTGAAACCATACAGCAGTTTTGTTTTATATATGGAAAAATCAGTTCTGTATATTCATTAATTATTTTATTCAAGAGTCAGTAGCAAGTGTTATCTCAGCCATTTAGACTGGAACTGTGTCAGTGTCTACTGTCGGTGGCTCAGGGTCAGGACAGCCAGCCGTGTTCATACACCTCTCGTGCAGAGGAGTTAGTAGCACCAAGCTGCTGGTGTCCTCTGGCCCGTAAGCCGTACTAGTGGAGGGCTTGTGTGGTGTCCGCTTGGACTGGTATCGGCTGCGGTTACCCTGCTGTCCCTCTGGCTGCTCTGCTTACTGAGGTCTTCCTGTGAGGGGCTGTACCAACGGTCAACCTTTGCTCTTTGTCTTGCAAATGAGTTAACAGGATGCTCTCCCTCTTGTGTCTTAAGCTCATGAGTGCTATTCAGAAGGGCCATGTGTCTGGAAGCCGGCTGGCTGTGCTCATGAAGACTGCAGAGGAGAATCTGCATCAGAGGGTGGTGATTCCGGTGGACCGGAGCGGTGGTGGACTGTGAGTTCAAACACAACATCTGCTCACAGCCACGGCTAACAGAGACGTGTAGCTGCGTCTCTCTGCTGAAAAACATTCCAGTGCTTCTGATTGTCCTTGCTTGTTCAAGATGACCAGTATCTGTCCATTGGTGTAGCTCTTAAAAAAATACATTGGTGCATTTTTTTTCATTATTAATGGTTTTCTGTACAGCTCTTAATACTCCAGTATGTGGCCTTTTGGATTGGGTATTCTTTAGTCACAGGGGCTTATTAACAAAGAGTTCAGGAATACAGTCTAGAAAGATTTGGGTGCACACACAAGCACGTGTGCACATACTGCCTTGTTCATTAACTTTTATATCACCTTTACCTCTTAAAGAAAATGATGCTTAGAAAGTGAATCCTGCCTTTAAATGCATTGCATTGAGTTTTACAAATACGCGTTTAGTATTTAAAAGCTGCTGATCTGTCTTCTTCAACAAAGAGCAAGAGAGGGAAAGCTGATGTTCTGGATTGGAGATAGTATCGTGAAAGGAACAAAACTGATGCTTCCTGAGGTAGTGATTACTGTGAAGAACTGTCATGAGCCTTCTGTAGGTGGTTGGTTTTGCTCTTTCGAGTGCTCTGTTATTTCAGTGGTACCAATACTTGGCCAGACAAAAATATCAGCAGTATGAAGCTAGAAAACTACAAGACATCTTGATTAATCACCCAAGCTAATAATTTAGTTAAAAGCTAGGGGACAGCTTTCCTTTCTCCCATATTAATAAAAATAAGCTTCCTTTAATAAACAGCGTTGTCTAGCAGGTGGTGTTTTATGCTGTAAAGTGCTTCATACTGTTTTCAGTATGTCCGGTTTTGGACAAACACTGATGATATATAGAATATGGCAGTTTTTGATAGCATAACAGTCTTAATTGTTTATTTAAAAATGCTCAAACACAAAGTGAAAAAATGAAATTTGTTATGCATTCCACTAACTTTTCTATAAAAGTGAAAGGGCTATTTTTCAGCAGATTAATGAAAAAAACCAAACAATTAGGACCACTCACTTGAGCTGTTTTCAACAATGTTGTATCTGGCTATTTGCCTTTCTATTGTTAGATTGACTAGGTTCAAGATCAGATGGAAGATTTCTGCCTAATGTAGAATAAGGAAGGGAAAAATGTAAGAATGGTTCATTGATGAATTTCTCATTCTGTTATATTCTTTGAATATAAATACCAATTTACAACTCAAAACAAACTTCAGTTTCAAGGTGTCAGAATTTCTAATTGTGTAAAATCTGATATATTTTAACTGATGTCACCACTTTAATGGAAAATAACAGTACAGGAATGAACAGCAAAGTTTACTTTGATATTTTAAAAGGGAAAATGATTACATACACAAGGTGGAGATGCTGAGGAGTGTTAGTATGTAGCATAGTAAGTACAGATGTTGTGTTTGGCTGGAGAGGCAGAGTCCTTTTAAAAAAAAATTAAAAATTCAGGTGTTTAATAGTAGTAGGTACAAAAAAAAAGGGGGTGGGGGGCAAGCCTCACTTAAAATTCAGCAAATGGTTATATTTCTCTCAGTCCAAACAATTGGTAAAATCTGGAGGGAAGGAGACAGTCTCGGGTAAAATGCCTTTCAGATGTTTTTTGCATGTTAAATTTTCTTTTGACACTGCCTTGTACCAAAATGCAGATAGTGTTAAGGTGTTATGGCTTTTTTGCTTCGAGTCGTGTGCTAGTGAGGCACAGTCTATGTGAATGAGGAGTTAGCATATTTGACAATGTAAGAATTCTATGAACAAAGGGGTTTGTTTCTGTGGTCCTGTAAACTTTTCTTTTTGAAATATGTTTCAGTATATTCAGGTAAAGTATGTAATGTTTGACACAGCTTCATATTTCCAACACCTGTTTCAAATAAGAACACAGTAACAGATTTTACATATACTGCAGAATTGGAGGGAAATGAATGTACAATACACAGGTTATTTTGGTTCAGTGAGCAAGGTAAGGAGGGAAGGGGTTTAGGATTCTGTTGTTAACAACAGTTTAAGGAAAAAAAAAGTAAGTAAAAGTAATGAGACCTTTTCCAGGCCACATAAAGAAAAATATTTACAATATTTAACATCTTTTGTATGGTTTAAAGAAAAATTCTCCTCCACTCCTCTATAAATGGCACTGTTAAGAATTAATAATACAAGTTTACTTGTAAAGCCAGGATTTTCTGCTTTGTACCCAAAGTATACTCTTTGTTCTCTTGTTTTAGTAATATTGCATACAGAATGTGACTTTGGGATTTTCTTGGCTATATGTGTGTCCTCCGATATGAATTTGCTTTGCATCTTAGGCACTTTACTGTCATGCTTCTTTGCTCTTTTGTATGGCACAGCAAGATCTTGTATGCCTACCTTGTGTAACAAGAGAAGATTGCATGTGTTACTTAAAACAGCTAAATCTATACATGGAAAAAATCTAGAAGTATTTATTTATCACCTCTCATCTGTTTTCAGGAATGTTGGCTTTGTTGTTTTTTGGTTTTATTTTCCATGTGAATGTACTGTAGAAAGAGTTGTAAAATGTCACTGTCTTGCATTGTTCTGATCCTAGGTGGAAAAACAGCAATTTTTTTTTTTTTTTTTTTTTTTTTTTGAGGTGGGAGTTGTATTTCTGGATGGGGGGTTATTTTGTGTTTTAAATAAACTACGCCTGTGGGGGAGGGGATGCGTGTACATGCAGCGTGTTTATATATGCGTGTATCAATACATGTGTATATATGTACACACATACATACACACTGCATGTTTTACATGTGGCACTTAACGTATTTTGTTAGGTTACTGTTCTAGACTGAACTGTTAAATACTGTGTTTGAGGCTGGGTTGTCATTTTTATAACTGTCTTGGTGTTTTACTGCCATTATTTATTACTTTTGATATACAGAATGAGCCGCATGCATTTATAGAGCAATAAGAGGATGTATTTAATGTGCCTTGTTTTTAACTGAGTAAGAGCTGAAAGCATGAATCAATAAAACTGATTAAAAATGGTCCCTTCACTGGCAGTTTGTTATGGCAGTTACAAAAATAACTTTGGCCTTGAAAAAGTTTATTTTTAAAGGAAAAATGTTCAGATAGATGCTTCTTAGTAAACATAACATAATTTTGTCCATGCTTTCCCATTTTAGCTCAGAATTTAGCACTTCATAGTTTAAAAGTGAAAATTAGGAGTTAATACAGCACTTAGCATTCTCGGGACGTAGGAGCTGTGTGTGTTCGCCGGTGACACGAAGGGTAAGGTATTCTGCACTGCCATCTCATACTAAAATTACAGCTAGCCAATTGGCCTGGATTTTGGGGGGGGGGGGAAATGCCAGTTGCAAGTGTTCCTTTGCACACTGATGAATTTTATCATAACCAAAATCAATAGAAATGAATGGAAGAGATTTCATAATCCATTTTGATCATTTTACATGTCAAGTTAGTCCAGGGTTGCCATGTGTTGATAAATGTTCTGACAGAAAAAATGCTATATATTTTCATTGTCAGTAAATCAGTAAAGCTGTTATCAGTTTTAACGCAATTTTTATAATCTCCATATTATTTTATAGGTTTTAATTTACACTTGTAATAGGGATATTCCACAACTGCGATGTAGCTGTACTGAATACAGGGGCTGTGTATGTGCAGCCAGAATAGCTCCCCTCTGCACGTCCCCCACAGAAATAAACAGGACCGATACCTCCAGAGTATAATTACAAAGATTATGAATTTTATCTAATCTGTGGTGTGTAAGTAGTATGTCAGAAAACGTTTGCTACAGTCATCTTTGTCCCAAATATTTTGCAGCACTAAAATTGCCTTGGGTCATGATCCTGAATTTGCTACTCGGCACAGAACTGAAATGAATAGGAGTTTTTCTAGAACAGTATTTTGGGGCTGGGTTCCCTTGCTTTGCACGATTTCTCCACTGAATGTTCAAAAATTCAGATTTATTGCAACTTATGTTCACTTGCGTTCTGCAGCCTGTTTTAGAAATATGATATGGAATATCATAGCAACATTAATATTTAAGCGTTGATGCCTGAGCTGGGTGTTTCCCGTGTCAGATATGAACTGATTGCATCTTTTGAGGAGAGAAAAACCATCTTCAGTGGGGATGAATCTTTGCTGCTAAGTAAGTGTTTCTCCTCACTGAAAAAGAGGGGGTTTTGGATCTGTATGTGTGTTCAGCCTCGAGGTTTTAGTCCTCATTTCCCTATTTAACCAGGCCCCCCCCCCCATTTTTGCATGCCTGTACCCTGACACAGGAGCACTGGCTGCACAAAGCATGTGCATGGCTGCTGTGGCTGGAGATTACAGGCTGTGTTTCAGAATCGATACTTTCTTCGCTCGGAAGATGCCGCTGATGCAGGCATGCGCTGGGATAATCTCGCCTCTTCTTATTTTGCAAATAAAAGCAGAGATTAAATTTTGCTCCCCTGAGCAAGCCTTTAGCTTGCTCATTCTTTTCACAACAGTCTTGTGCAAGGACTGTCATGTATGTTAGATTATCCAGGTGGACGTGAGCAGGGGACTGGCTTCTGTAAAATTTTTGGAAGTTTTGACTCTGTATTTAACTGAACTTGATCCTCAGCAAATGCCAGCCTCGGCCACCGTGCTTTGTCTGCCTCCTCTGAACCATCGCAGCCCGAGACTGTTCAGTGGAACTCGACAGGCTGGGGCTGTGTTGAAACTTTTCAGGTTTTGGCAGGTGAGGCTATTTTTATTCAGTGGCAGCTGTGATTTTTAGAGCTACACCTCGCCGGCCCTGGTGCGGTGGGGCTGTGCCTTCTCTGTGCAAATGTCTGGAATAGGGCAGAGCTGTAGCTGGATGCGTGTCACTCGTTCTCCTCCGTAGGCTTTATTTAACTAAATAAGGCAAACTTGGTTCTGTCTTACTAAGATACCGTAATCTGTTTGTCCAACTGATGTACATGTAATTAGGTTGATCAGTAAAACTGACACAAGTGAAGGGAGTTGAGTCGGTGTAACCCGATTCGAAGGTCCCTTACAAAGGCAGCCTGCCTGCCTCCCCAGCCTCCCGCCCTCCCCAGAATAAACACAGGACTTCGCTGCCTTTAATTTTCTCTCTTCTAAATTGTTGCTCAGTTTATTTTACTGAAGCGCCCAGATTCATTTTTTATTTTTGCATATCTACAATTAACTGATTTGCAATTCATTTTTATGCAAGCAGAGTTTTTCCTGTCCAAGTCAAGAAGCTGTAAATCTTAGATCTATTGAACTGACAGTGAAATATATTTCATTTTTCCCCATGAATCATTTGCCATCCTTATTGCAGAAAAATGGCAAAATTATGGTGTACCATGTTTTCATAAATTACTGCTTTTCTCCCCCTCCCCTCCCCCCCCAATTTGTTCCGTAATTTGCTTGGGAGGAATGCGAGTGTGGGAACCCGGAGTAGCTTGGTAAACAGGGCTTGTTTCTCACCAAATAGTCTGCCTAATCTCTCTTAAATTGTTCCTAGAACAACTAATGCAGCTTTCATATGAATCAAAAAATTAATAATTGCTATTGAAGTTATTTTGACTTGGTGTTGTTAAGAGGTTAGCCAGTTAAATTGTTATCGTACTACAGAAAGGAGGAAGCAGTACGTAGTACTACTTGACTATTATTTTTTGTTGTTGTTGTTCCAAAGAGCAAGCAGCAGTTCCTTGAGATTCCTGTTCTCTCGCATCAGAATCTTGTAAACTGCGGAAAGCTAGGTATTTTTCTGGGTTTAGGAATGTAAGGAATTCCTTTTCTAAAAACCTATAGCTCTCAAAACACTTTTTAAAAATCTTGGCAGTAGTACTTGTTTTGAAACCCTGGAAAAATTAGGGGTTTATTACACTTCAGGCTTAGCTAGGGAGCTAATTTTGATTAGTGACTAGCTTATTACGTCTGGCAAAGAAGCTGTTCTATCTACCATCTAGTCTAAGTCAAGTTCTTCCTGAATTAAAAAAAAAAAAAATATATATATAAAAATGTTCATCATGGTAGGCTGTTAAATTGTTTTCAAAATTGGCCATTTTTTAAATGGAGCTTATCCAGCTATGTCAGTACTTCAGGTTGCACTGAACCATTAAATAAAAAGCTGAGACAAAATGCCTTTGAAAAGGGTTAATTAGTTTTAATATTGATTTATTCCATATAGGGCAGTAATAGACTAGAACATTTATTTCTGTTTTGGATCATTAAAAACAGTCTTTGGTTCTTGAACAATTTGTTTCTAATAAATAAATGGGGGGAAGGAAAAAAAAAAAAGGCCAATTAGAGTAATTTAGAGTCAGCCCCGTGACGTTGCCTGCCTTTCGGAAAGCCCCAAGCCCCGCGCGGGACGTCTCCCGGCCGGGTGCTGGGCGCTCGCCGGGGCCGCGCCGACCCTCCGCCGGCCCGGCCGGGGCCGGGGCCCCAGCCCCGAGCCCCCCCTC